GCAGATAAATATGTCTGAGCTTCTATTTTTGCATGTAATTTTTGTTTTTATTTGTACTTGTACAAATAGTAGTATCTGTTTAATGTAGTTACTATTTTTAAAATTACTAATAAAGATATGAGCAAGACCTCACCTTAATATCAAAAAAAAAAAAAATTAATATTATAAAAATCCTTAGTACAATTATACATTTGTAGCAATTATACCAAATAAAAAAAATGGTTTATAATAAATCTTTATAATAAAAATAAATTCTAAATATTAACTATTTATTTTAACACAAGGATTTAAATTTATTAATTTCCCATTTCTAATCTATTTATATACAAAGTAAAAAAATCTTAAAAATTTAAATCTTCAGTAGATAAGATATTTTTTGCAAGTAAATTATTTTTTAGATAATTTAACTTGATTAATTGGTTATATCTGGTTATAATTAATTGAATGCAATCAACTATAATAAACTGATTAATCGATTATATCTGGTTAAAATAAAACTAATTTATCAATTTACAGTCAGCCCCCTCTAAATGCATCCTCTCTAAATGCATGACTTCCTTAAATGCATATTAATTTTCTGACCAAAATATATACTAAACTCCCATAAATGCATTTTTTATTATTGTTCTCTAAATGCAAGCCTTCAAAAATTTGGTCCCGATGATATACATTTATGGAGAGTTGACTGTAAAAAATTTCAACCTGATTGTAATATATAAATAACCAGTTAGACCCGGTTATAACATTAACTGGTTCTAATCAATAACTAATTCTACTGTAATTTATAATATATCAATAGTAGAAGTTCTTTTTTTGGTGGTAGAGTCAAGTAAGTTGCTGGTATTTTAGTAAAGCTGTAGTGATGGATAAATTTCACACTATAAAATCATAGGTTGTCTAGTTGTTTTGGGTCTGTAATTGGCAAGTAAATTTTTAGCTCATCTTTTAGTTTTGTTAACTTGTCTGACAGTTTTGGTAACATGATAAAAATATGTGTCTGGTAGGTTGAAGAAGTTAAATACTTTAATGGAGTTAACTATTGCTTTTGTTTGGGATCTTTGAGTAATCAGTAATTCGAAAAGTCGGATATTATTCAATCTTCTGAATATGAATTGTACCCGAGTCTTTATAGGGAATATTATAGCACAGTCAGCACCGTACGGGTGTTGATTTATGCTGTCCACAAATACAAATACCAAATAAATCAATGGTATAACTACCAAAACAAATAATAATCAGAATTTACCAAGCTTATAATGATTTTTTAGTAAATATCAGATAGGTTTTATCTTTAGAGGTCTTGTAGTATTTTATATAAGGCACGTGACTCCTAATTTTTAAAAACTACCTGGCTTTAGACCATCTCTATCTTTGTATAACAATAATTTATATTCTTATATAAGTAAAACTTAAACCCGAAACTATTATTTGGGTTATAACAGTTTTAACAACTGTCTAGATTACTCTAACTTTAAATCAAGTTTTTATTACAACACCTATTAATATATTTTAGTAAAAATTTATGAGAATGTCTATCAGATATCCGATTTGGCAAGCACTATTTTGAACCAGATCCAATTCGGGCAAATTCTTCAATCAATTCACGTTGTTTAGGTGTCAAAGTCCTATAACATAAAAATGAGTGAGAAATTACTTTACACACATTAATTAATGCAAAAAGACAAAACGTACTTTGGCAGCGGTACTTTAAATACCACAATTTGATCACCACGATAACTGGTTCCAATTTTTCGGATTCCTCGTGTTTTCATAACCATTTGCTGATCCGGTTGCGAACCAGCTGGGACATTTAATTCTACATCTCCATCTATTGTAGGAACTCGAATAGAACCACCTAGTATGGCCGTGTGAAACGGGACTTGAGCTTCAACAAAAACGTTGGAACCTTGCCGTTTGAATGTCTTGTGAGGTGCCACACGTACACGAACAATTAAGTCACCAGGTAAACCTTCACTATCAAATGGCGCGTCCCCTTTTTTTGGTATCCGTACCCTCATTCCATCTTCTGCACCTATAATTTGAACTAAGATTTTTCGCCTTTCCAACAGTTAAAAATCAAATAAACTTGACACATAAATACCAGCTGGAATATCAACAGATTCTGCTTTCCGTTCCTTTACTTGTCCTTTACCTCCGCAGGTATGGCATCTGTTTTCAGGTAATATTCTGGTTCCTTTGCCACCGCATTCATCACATGTAACTTGCATACGAAAACCTGATGCAACAGATAAAGACCGCACACCCGAACCTTTACACGAAATACAAACATCACGCTTTTTTCCAGCTTTAGTACCACGGCCTTGACAAGTTTTACATGTAGTAACAGCTTCATAAAAAACACTTCTTGTAGCACCTTTAGCAGCATCCATGAAAGGAATATTCAGGGCCACCTATTTACAAATAAAAGTACACGTAAGCAAGGTTAAGAAGTGCGAGTAAATATTTGTAACCCATACCTCAATGTCCGTTCCTTGAGCAAATGGCTCCCCAAATCCAGTTGACCATGCAGACCCCCCTCCAAAAACATGATCGAAAATGTGCATTGGATTTCCAAACCTGAAATCTCCAGCGAACCCATTAAAATTCGCACCTGGTGGTATATCTAATAGGATTTTGACATTTAATTACAACACATTTTGTACAATTTTGATGTATCAACCAACCTTTGAATGAACCCCATTTGTCATACTCTGCGCGCTTTTCCTCATCACTCAGTATCTATAATAGTTGTCCAAATTTTGTAATTTAAAT